AGAGGGATGTCTGACTGCCAGCTTAGGCCCAATTCCCCCAGAGAGCGGGCCTAAGCCAGCAGGTGGTCATCCCCTGAGGGGTCCCAGACTGCGAGAGGGCACAGGCTGGGCTGAGGGACCCTTCTGAGTGCACAAATTTTTGTGCACAAGGCCTCTAGTATAAAATAATACTGAATGTCTACTATAATTGAAAAAAATTTGAGTAACTTCTATGTGTTACACCCTATACAGGGTGAGTTCACATATTTTCTTTAGCTTAACTGCTGTAGTGAGGTTGTATTTGGGGCTCAGTAGGTTAAGAAGGCCACTCAGCTAGTTGAGAAACAGAACTGGAAGACAAATCCAGTTTGTCTAGCAACAACCCCACTATAATACAGACTTAATGACTTCTCAAGGATTCTTTCCAAAGGGGCATTAGGTCAACTGCACAATCTCAGGCACAGAGGGGAAGAAAGAGATGGGAGGAATTGGGGGTGGGCAGAGGTGAAAGAGGATATATGTGGGATAAATGGTGATGGGAGAAAAAAAAAGAGAGATGGGAAGGATCTTCCAAACCTTTCATTGTAGGTGTGGTCCTCGTCACCTTCTTTCGTTGCCGTGGAGACATGGCCAAAGTGGACTGTGAAGGACAGAACACAGTGGGTGCCGGCTCTCTCACCTGCCTCCCCTGCCTTGTCATGCTTCTGGATTGCAACTGGGGGTAGGTGTGGACTTCAGAAAGTAGAGAAAGAAAATTCCTGCTTCTCCAGCCCCCACAATGGTGAGCAAGGAGACCATGTGGGGGGCATGTTGGGATGTGTGTGTGCATGCACATTTGGGGGGTACTGGGACGAGGAACTCAACGTTTCTGCAGATGGAGTGTTCTGAGGAATAATCCCTTAATGAGTCTGTGGGTTCCCTGGGCTGGGCTGAGTGGGAGGGGCCAGCTCACCTTGAGAAGGGGGTTGGGGATCCGGTCTTCGTCTATCTCTGAGGGGAACAGGAAAAGGAGAAAGTGATGAGGATGGGAGATCAGAGGGTCCCTCGGAGCTGACTTCCAAGGGTAAGAGCCTGTGCAGTCACCTCCTTCCTGATGTGTCCCTCACATCTACCCCTAGGCAGTTAGCCCTGGAGGCTGCCCCTGGCTTTCTCCTTCCAGCTTCCTCCTGCTCTGCGGGCTGGCTTTACCCCTGCATCTAATCCTGTCCTTGACCCTATGGGTTTATTTGTGTCTACATCCTTGCATCAGACCTGGAGGTTCCAGGATTTGTGGTCCCTTTGCTGCATACGAGGGAATATTGGAAAAAGAATAGCAAATTGATCCTGTGCAGGGGCCAGGAAGGTGCAATCATTCTCACTAGTTGGAGGCCAGGGGAGACTCAGGCATCCTGAATTCCTGGCTAGCTTTTAAACATGACCACCTCTCTTCCACTCTCCTGTCAAGCTCCCCATGACATTCCCTGAGACCTTGCTCTCTCCCCAGACCTTGATGGGGACACTGGTGACCAGAATGCCAGCTGCTCCCTGAGCTTTTTCTAACTTTCCCTTTCCCCTCTGGGGGCTGTGAAGATAGCTGATGGAGGCGGTCCCTCCCCCGCACAGCTGTCATAGCCTCTGGGGGTGGGGGCAGCAGCATCTCAGTTGCTGGAGAAACCTGGAAGGCTGTTGCGAAGCAACCAGCACTCAGTTGACCTCCCAATTCCCGGGGGCTTAGGAACCAGGTGGTCTCTTCCTAGCATTGCTCCATCTTCCCAGAGCAAAGGAAATCCTCCTGCTAATCCAGCCATCACTTTTCTGCCTCCAGGATTGAGATCTCTGACTTCTCAGACCTGCCCTTCTATCTAGCACTCACCTTCCCTCACCGGACCCAGCTGTCTTCAGCAGCCCCCACTCCCTTTAGCGACCCATTCCTGGGGTTTACCTGGGGATGACTGGTCACTGGTCAGCACAAGCGTAGCAGGGGTGGGCCGACGCCTCCGAATCTGAAGGAAGAGGTCAAGTACATGTGGAGGCATCAAAGCCCCACCCAATACCACTCACTCAGCAATGTAATCCAGGTCAGCCAGTTAGCACACCTCAAAAAATACTATTACACAGAACCCGTTGTCTCAGGGTGGACTTTCCTGTGTTCATCCCTCTCTGTTGGGGACCCAAAAGACCACCCCCCTTTCTGCATCCCCTACCCCTTTTCTGTATCTGAATCCCCCCTCCCCCAGTCCTGGCCCTAGCCATCTCAGCAGTAATATCTGCTCTAGTACATCGATCTCTGGCCCACTGTCTTTCCGTCCATCCTGGATCAATGGTCAGAAATAACCCAGGAGGTGCAAGGCTCTTCCCTCAGTCTCCCAGCCCACCCCCCAGAGCAGACATTAACCCTTTGTGGATCAGCACCTGTAGAGAACACCCCTCAATCCCCACTCTGCCTGGGGGGACAGCACAGAACAGGCAGGTCTGAATGTGCATTTCCCTGGCCTGTGCTCCTCACTTCCTAATGTTTTCCCTATCCTTGGACACATTGCCTTTCTGGTTTGTCAGGAAATATGTCTGTGAAAATCCTTGTCATGGTAAATATAAATGAGCATCCTAGGCAGGACCCTGGTCAGCTGAAAAGTCTTATCCTGAGCTTCAGGTCCCATTCTAAGAAATCTATACTAATAAAAGGGTAATACACTAATTAGACCGGGAGACCTTCTGGGAGACCTTCTGGACGTACTTCCAGACAAAGCCAGGCTGGCAGGGGGGAGGGCAGTTGGGAGCAACCAGGCCTTCAGGGGAGGGCAGTTAGGGGTGACCGGGCTGGCAGAGGAGGGCAGTTGGGGGCAAAGCCAGGCTGGCAGGGGAGCAGTTAGGGGGTGATCAGGCTGGCAGGCAGAGCAGTTAGGGGGTGATCAGGCAGGCAGGCAGGTGAGTGGTTGGGAGACAGAAGTCCTGGATTGTGAGAGGGGTATGGGATTGGCCTAAACTGGCAGTCAGACATCCCCCAAGGGTCCCAGATTGGAGAGGGTGCAGGCTGGGCTGAGGGACCCTCACCCCCTGTGCACAAATTTCATGCACTGGGCCTCTAGTTAACATATAAGAGCTGATTGCTGGGCTTCTGAGCCCCTTTTCCCGTTGCTGTTCTTTTGTCATGCTGCCAATAGAGTTGATTGTTGTAGAAGATGGTTCAAGGACTCTTGGGACATGTAGTTTTTTTCCGTTTCTTTGGAGGGTCTAGGGCAGCTGTGGGCAAACTACGGCCCATGGGCCAGATCCGGCTCGTTTGAAATGAATAAAACTATTGAAAAATAAGACCGTACCCTTTTATGTAATGATGTTTACTTTGAATTTATATTAGTTCACACAAACACTCCATCCACGCTTTTGTTCCAGCCCTCCGGTCCAGTTTAAGAACCCATTGTGGCCCTCGAGTCAAAAAGTTTGCCCACCCCTGGTAGGGGCTTCGAAGCGAGGGTAAAGGTGGGGTTGGAGTCCCTATAGTTCCCTCCAGGACAGCGGAAAGGAGGGAAGGCTAATGGGACTGGGAGAGGGGCTAAAATTATTCAGAGCTAAGAAGAGTAGGGTGAGGACACTGAATGATCAAATCCCCATCTTTGTGTGTCCATTTAGTATTATTCCCATTTGGGGTGAAGGTGGTAAGATGCCTCCCCGTCTCTATGCTCCGAAATGGGTATCAGTCACAGCAAGAGGGGCAGTGTCAGTCTGAGAGGCAGACTCTCCCCAAAGAAGAAATGGGATGCACAGAATGGGGGTATGTTGAGGTAGGGCAGTGTTTCTCAGGATAATCCAGTGGCCTCTGTTCTGGTGATATTTCAAAGTTCCTGGCACTACCAGTCCCACGTGTGTGCATGCCGCATATATGCGTGCACCGCACAAACATTAGCTGAGCCCATCTCTAGCTATTCCTGGTGCAAATGTGCAGGGTGCCAGCGGCAGGCATGTGTGCTTCCTGTATGTGGGTGGGGGCCACCCTCCTCCTAGGAGGGGACTCCATCCAGTTCTCTCTCTCTCTGCAGGAGGGGCTGGCTGTGAAAGAGACTGGGAGAGGGAGGGTGCGGATTAGTGGGAGTTGGGAACCTGAGAGGGAGGCTTTGAAAGGACAGCAGGGGTCTGTGATCCCTTCCTTAGCC